TTTTGAGCCTGTGGGTGACAAATTGCCACAAATTATTGTGCCAGGAGAAAAACAAGGAATTCTGGAATATTTTGGATTGAAATCCTTTAAATCTCATTCACACCATGGCCAGAGACACTCCCAATTAATTAAAAACCACTCCCAATTAATTAAAAACCACTCCAGATTAATCCAACCTGGCCTTGAATCCATCCCAAAAATCCCATGGACAGCACAAATTCTGTGAAAAATTCATCCCAAAGCTGATAAAATCAGTTTATTTTGTTGGTGTGAGTAATAACAGCCTGGTATTTTATTGCAATTCAGCCTTCCTGCAGCTTTTTGTGGCTCAGGAAAAAAACTCCTGCAGTTTTTCATGAGGGAAAAATAAAATTATTGTGGCTTATCAATGAAAATTCCATGTGCAGATAAGTCAGGTGTCTTGGTTTCTACAGGAAAAATGCAATTTTCTGTGAGGAAAAGAAAATTTTATTCTGGCTTATAAGTGAAAATTCCATGTGCAGGTCAGTCAGGTTTTGTGGCAAAACTCCTGCAGTTTTCCATGAGGGAAAAATAAAATTATTGTGGGTTATCAATGAAAATTCCATGTGCAGATAAGTCAGATGTCTTGGTTTCTACAGGAAAAATGCAATTTTCTGTGAGGAAAAGAAAATTTTATTCTGGTTTATCAGTGAAAATTCCAGGTCAGTCAGGTTTTGTGGCTTCTACAGGAAAACTCCTGCAGTTTTTCATGAGGGAAAAATAAAATTATTGTGGCTTATCAATGAAAATTCCATGTGCAGATCAGTCAGGTTTCTTGGTTTCTACAGGAAAAATGCACTTTTCCATGAGGAAAAGAAAAATTTTATTCTGGCTTATCAGTGAAAATTCCAGGTGCAGGTCAGTCAGGTTTTGTGGCAAAATTCCTGCACTTTTCCATGAGGGAAAAATAAAATTATTGTGGGTTATCAATGAAAATTCTACATTCAGGTGAGTCAGGTTTCTTGGTTTCTGCAGGAAAAATGCAATTTTCTATGAGGAAAAGAAAATTTTATCCTGGCATTTCAAATTCCACATCCAGGTTGTTCAGGTTTTGTGGCTTCCACAGGAAAACTCCTGCAGTTTTTATGAGGGAAAAATAAAATTATTGTGGGTTATCAATGAAAATTCCACATTCAGGTCAGTCAGGTGCCTTGGTTTCTACAGGAAAAATGCAGTTTTCTGTGAGGAAAAGAAAATTTTATTCTGGTTTATCAGTGAAAATTCCATGTGCAGGTCAGTCAGGTTTTGTGGCAAAACTCCTGCAGTTTTCCATGAGGGAAAAATAAAATTATTGTGGTTTATCAATGAAAATTCCACATTCAGGTCAGTCAGGTTTTGTGGCTTCCATAGGAAAACTGCAGTTTTCCATGAGGGAAAAATAAAATTATTGTGGCTTATCAATGAAAATTCCACATTCAGGTGAGTCAGGTGTCTTGGTTTCTACAGGAAAAATGAAGTTTTCTGTGAGGAAAAGAAAATTTTATCCTGGCATTTCAAATTCCACATCCAGGTCAGTCTGGTTTTGTGGCTTCCATAGGAAAACTCCTGCAGTTTTCCATGAGGGAAAAATAAATTTATTGTGGGTTATCAATGAAAATTCCATGTGCAGATAAGTCAGGTTTCTTGGTTTCTACAGGAAAAATGCAATTTTCTGTGAGGAAAAGAAAAATTAAGCTGGGGCTTGGGAGAGAATTCCTGTTCCAGAGGGGAAATTCCTCCCAGGGCAGACAGGGATGGAATTCCCTCCTTCTCCAGGCCTTGGGGTTTTATTTCTAAATTTCGAATTATTTCTAAAATAATTCAAGTTTTTTGCTTCTCAGGAACTTTTAAAACCTCAATTTTTGAACTGAAAGCTGCACTTTTGAGGAAGGTTTGCTTAAAAATAAAACTGGAAATGGGGTTTGCTGCAGCTGTTGGTGTTTGGAGAGAAAAATCTCATTTTTGAAGATATTTTAGCCTAAAAAACCTCAGGATGCTGCTCCAGGAGGGAAATAAATCCAGCTCCTTTATTTCCATGAATTCCTGCTTTTTATTTTCCAGCCAGAATCGTCCTCTTGCTGCTCTGAAATGGGATTGAGTAACCCCCAGCTGAGAAAATAACACCTGGCTATTTTAAGTTAATATTTGCCTGTGAAAAAGAACATTTAACATTAAAAACACAGCCTGGGGCGAGATTAATGCTTCTTTTAGCACCATTTAATGGCAATTTTAGCACTGCTGAGGTCAAAAATGAGGTGGAAACCCCCTGAAAATGGAAATATTTTGGTAAATTTGGGAGTGGGTAAAATGTGGTGTTTTTTATACAGATGGCAAAAAATCGGGGATGAGGAAAATTCAGGAAAAATCAGGAATTTTAGGGGTTTTTTTTCTGAGGATTTTTGACTTTTAGAGGGGCTGTGGTGGCTTTGTTCGTCTTCAATATTTTCTTTTTTTCTGAGGGGATTTTTGGCAATTTTTGCCTTCCTCAGGTCACTTTGTTCATCTTAAGTATTTTTAATTTTATTTTTTTTTTCTGAAAGGACTTTTGGTATTTTTTGCCTTCCTCAGGTGACTTTGTTCATCTTCAGTATTTTCTTTTTTTCTGAGGGGATTTTTTGCCTTCCACAGGTGGCTTTGTTCATCTTCAGTATTTTTTATTATTTTTCTGAAAGGATTTTTGGCACTTTTTGCCTTCCAGAGGTGACTTTGTTCATATTCAGTATTTTAATTTTTTTTCTGAAAGGATTTTTGGCACTTTTTGTCTTCCACAGGTGAATTTGTTCATCTTCAGTATTTCAATTTTTTTTTTTCTGAAAGGATTTTTGGTATTTTTTGCCTTCCACAGGTGACTTTGTCCATCTTCACTATTTTATTTTTGAGAGGATTTTTAGCACTTTTTGCCTTCCACAGGTGACTTTGTTAATCTTCAGTTTATTTTTTCTGAGGGGATTTTTGGCACTTTTTGGCTTCCAGAGGTGGATTATTGATATTAAATGTATCCTGGATTTAATGGTGGCTATCCATTCAACAGCAAAAAATGTGAATTTCTGCCATTA